GTTCGTAAGTTTATCTCATCCAAACAGAAGTAAAAAGCTTTTAGCTCATATCTATAGCAAGTAATAACCTAAAATCAAAATCTAATGATTCAAACATGGTTCAAAACAAAGATTAAGAAAAGAAGAGTGATTATTTGCCTTTAATTCTCTTTGAAATTGTCTCTTTTATTGAAATCTTGAAAATAGCAGCTCCAAGAACCCTTCTGATCTTCAAAAGTCGCAGCTAGCCTCCAGTAAAAGTTAGGGTTCGAATGAGAAGAGTTTCTATATATAAATTCTGAAAACAATGTCAACTAGACGAGTTTGTAAGAATAACCCGTCGAGTTTTTTCGATAATCCGCGTATACAGCGTGTACGACAAGGCATCTTCGAATCTGGAACATTCTGAAAAAACTCATCGAGTTTAGGCCCATCTCGTCGAGTTTTTTCGGAATCAACATTTTCTCAAAATAGTAAAGTCGTCCGAAATTGTGTCTAGTTTTCAGAACATTTTGAATCTCATCAATCGGAGTTACGGTTCATGAGATATGACCAAAACACTGACGATGGGTCAAGGTGTCCAACACCATCCTTCTTTCTTCAAAATTCAAGATCCAAGCTTTCAATCGCCAATTCTGCTTCCTTTTCCTTCCGAGCATGTGTTTTATTGCTGAAATTAAAATATTAAGCTAAATAAGTACCTTTTGTCCATAAAATGATATAAAAACAACATAAAGTATTAAGATAATGCATGCATTTTATAACTAAATATGCCCATATCATGATGACTCTTAGATTCCTTATTGATTTGTCATTGTAAATCATGAGAGCTTCGTTGTTTGCTAAAGGTATTCGAACGATTTTTTTCAAAACATAAGATCTCTGCTCAATGATGAAATGACCAATCCATTCCGATAATCACATTGAAACTTCCAATGGTCATAGGTATTTGGTTTGACGTGAAAGACATGGTTATGAGAAGAAAATTAGTGAGTATCTCTAAGGCGCTTTTTGATTGACTGTTTACTACTTTCACCGTGTAAGCTTCATTAAGTTTGCATGATTTGTTGGTCAATCACGCTTCTAAACTTAGGGAAATAAAGCTTCTATCAAAAATAATATCCAATAATGTTGAAACATAAATATTTTTGATAGAAAACATACTAGTAACCATAGTTGGCTCCTGGAGAGCATCTCTAGCACCTATCATAAATTATCTTCCTTTGTCACCCTGATTCTTCAGTTTCATGGAGTTCTTCTTGAAATGTTGTGGTTGATTGCATTCAAAGCAACTTCAGCTTCTAGCTGCAACAGGGGTTGAGGTTGCATTGTTCGGGTTCTTCTATAAAAATTAGAGGTGTGACCTCTCAAGTTAAAAATGTTACAAGCCATGCAATTTTCGACATGGTAGAAATTGCACTTGGTATAGTGAGGTAAAGTCCTAGACTAGGTATTTGATTGATTTGGAGTGTTTGTTATTGCGGAGTAAACAGTCATAGGTTTTGAATTGGGTTTGCAATGCTTGAAGTTCCCTTTTGACTTGCCATGGAACTTCCTTTTTGTACTCCCATCCTAGTTCTTTTCGGTTTGTGGGGTCATGGTACCATGACAGATACACTGCTTATTCAATTGGTATGCTAATTGCTTGGTACTACCAAAAGTAGTGGGTCTGGATGAAGTAACTAGACCTTTAATGGGTGAAGCTAATCCCCAGATGTACCTTTTGGTCTCTTTGTATTCTGGGTTCATCACTCTCAGGCAAAGGTTTGCGAGGTTGTTAAATTGGGATGCGTAAGCAGTCACCTCCGATCCTTTCATGGTAAGGTTCCAAATTATAGAGACGGATTGATTCTAGAAATCCTACAAATTTCCAAATTATAGAGAGTGAATTGAAATCCTACTGATTTCAAATGATATTGAGAGAAGTTTGGAGACTACTAAATGATTGATTTGAAACTATGGGGCTTTGCTACGGCGGTAGCAGAGCTATTTGTTCTTTGTTCTACTTTGGGTTGATATAAGGTTTCTAAGGTACTAGGTTTTTGTAGCGAACCTTGAGAACATCCTTCAATGTCTCAAAATTTCAACCATTGTAGTCTTTCAAAGTCCTTGCTCAAGGTTGGTTGTGCACCGGCCCAACCATAAATAACATAGGCGTAAGCTCCAGGTTTATTTTTGGTATTGCTTATGTACGGTCCTAACCTTAATTAAGGTGTTTAACCTAAAGGGTTGAGTTGGTAGTTTTTGTTAAAGACATGTTAAGGCGTACTAACCGGAGGGTAGGACCATTTTAGCAATTAAACCATTCTGAAATCCAACAACCCAAGCGGCATTTCGAACCAGATTCCTTGAACTGTAAGTAGCCAAGAAGTGGTGTAATTAATATTAGTAATACTTTTATTAGAAGCTAGTAGATATAGTTGTTTTCCTCTTTCGAGGATACGAGTTCTCTATAGCCAATTTAGCTTTGATACCAATCTGTCACACCCCCGGTCGAGGCAGCGCAACACGCCAGGCTGTGCGACTAAGTTAATGGATCACATGTAAACTGAATATATATCACAAGTACAAAAATAAACAATATAGCATTCGTGTTCCATCTTGGTGTTTGAATACACCGTTTTTTTACAAATAATAATAATACATGAATCGTCTTAAGAGATAGGCATATAATACAACATCAAGTTAACTAGGTCACATGTAATCTGATCCATCTTGAATGTATGTTTAAAGATTTCTTGAGAAAATATGTAGTTTTAAGCGTCAACACAAGGTTGGTGAGTGTTAAAGGTTTTATGCTAAATGCAGTAATACTTTTAATAAGTCTATAAAGTATTATTTTTGTATGTATAACAATAGTTAAAAATAGTGTTTGCAAGAGTCTTTAAAAGCCCAAAATGTATTTATGTATAAGTAAATCCATATTTAAATTGTGTTTGTAACTCGAAAGCCAAAATGTATCTTCTATATAGGTAATTTCATACTTTAAACCGTGTTTATAATAAATCCTTGAAATCCAAAATGTATCTTTTGTATAAGTAATTCCATACTTTAAACTGTGTTTGTAATAAACCTTTGAATATCCTTGAAAATCAAAATGTTATGTTACCTAAGTAATTCCATACATCGAATAGTTTTGAAAGCAACCAAGCCATGGTTCTAGTGAATTACCTTAATGGATAGGCATATAATACAACAAGTAAACTAGGTCACCTGTAATCAGATTCGTATTGAATTTCTGTTTAAAGATTTCTTGAGAATACATATAGTTTTTAGGGTCAGCACAAGGTTGGTGAGTGTTACAGGTTTTCAACTAAAAGTCGTAATACTTTTAATAAGTCTAAAGAGTATTATCTTTGTATGTAAACCAATAGTTAAAATAGTGATTGCAATGAGTCTTTAAAAGCCCTAAATGTATTTTTGTATAAGTAAATCCATTCTTTAAACTGTGTTTGTAATAAATCTTTAATAGCAAAAATGTATTTTTTGTATAAGTAATTCCATACTTTAAACTGTGTTCGTAATAAATCCTTGAAAGCCAAAATGTATCTTTTGTATACGTAATTCTATACTTCAAACTTTTTTCGTAATAAACCTTTGCATATCCTTGAAAACCAAACTATAATGTTACATAAGTAATGTCATACTTAAAATAGTTTTAAAACAACCAAGCCCATAGTTGTAGTGAGAGAGAGAGAGAGAGAGGGAGAGAGAGAGATTCTAGTTAATGTTTATAGTGAGTCCTATAACCGAGCTATATGACTTGATTGTACCCCTTACAACGTTTCATTGGACATTGTAGTAAAAATTGTAGACACCTATCACCCGCTTCGATTGATCGGTCGAGGGTTGTAGCTAGCAACCGTAGGTGGGGATGTCAACCCCATATAGATATATACATATGTATCTCACTCTGAAGATTAACGGTTATAGTAGTGTGGGTATGCTATGTGTTTAGACTCAACTAATGAATAATGAAATGTATCAATAAAAAACCCTAACTAAAAAGATTGTGAATAATTCTCAGCCTAACTCACTTGTGGGTAAGTTCTAAGCATAATGAATATCGTTGTATATGGTTTATAAAAGCCGAGTATGTTTGACATGTATGCAAAAGTGTGGTGTGCTAACTTATTTAAAAATGAATGTTTCAAATTAATGAACATAGGTACATGTACAAATGTTGTGTACTTAAACACATAAATAAATATACATAGTAATAACTTGAATCCATGAAATACTACATGGTTTCATAGCATGTTTGTTATAATATGAAATGTCACATGAAAATTATATAATTTTGTATCGTGTAGTATTTGTTATGTGAACTGATTATTTTACGTTAAAATAACCATTATATACATACGGAAAATTTATGCTATTTTATTCGTAACAATATGGTAAATTGTTAAATAATAATATTTTTATAAACTAGATTTATTGTATTTTCGCATAAAAGATAATATATTTTTATAAAACAAAAATAATAATATACAGGCACATGTAACCCCCCCCCCCCTCTGAAATAATTAAAATATTAAAAAGGGGCCGTAAGCACTCACCATTAAAGCGTAAGTTCCATTTGTTCAGATTCAATTTCATTTAAAACCGCATATCCACGATTCTTAACAAATTTAAACTATTGGGGTTGTTGGGTAATTTAAGTAACAAAAATAGGATTGCTTTGATTAAAATAAGTCAAGGGAGGGACTGAAATGGTTTAAATGGGTATAATGTTTGAGAAGTGGACTGATTATGTTAAGAATTTTCCATGGAGGGGCTGTTTTGTTTTAATTAAACCAAACTTTTGAGGAAAGGGACTCATTTTGTTGAAACATACCAAGGGATGGCTGATTTTTAAATTAAAACTATAAATGGAGGGCTAGATGTGTTTAATGGCTCAACTTAGGAGGATTAGGGCTTTTAAGTCCCGATTCCTTTTGTTGATCGGGTAATTGGAGACGAACATGAAAAGTCGGGGTTTATGAACAGTTGGAGAAGAACATGAACAGTCGGGGTTTATGAACGACATAGCGAGAGGGAAAAACACGAAAGCTTCGCAGGTGGTACGATTTGTCGAGAGATTTCGAGGTGGAGGCCATCTATGGGGGAGGCAGCGAGGATTCAGGTCCGATGATTACCCCCTGGTTCGTGCGTCTTGTAGCCGACAGAAGTCGAGCAAGGAGGTTGCATCTCCAGCGTTTGGTTGGACCGAAGAAAGGACGAGAAACAGAGCAGCAAAATCGTATTTCTTCTACTCCAGTCGTGAGGCGCGAAGGGGAGGGGATCAGAAGAGGTGTTTGGGAGGAAGTAGACACCAACAACGTCTCAGGTAGGAGGCTTCGGTGGTGATTCTGTAAGGCAAAGAGGGAGAGCACCTCCGGTCTTCATCCGTCCGAGAATTGATCGGACCAAGGCAAAATTGGTAATTCCTTTTTTTTTTTTTTTTTTTTTTTTTTTGATTTGGTGTTTATTATGAAGGAAAAAGAATGGAAACTGGAAGGAACAAAGGCTACAACAGGCTCGAGATTTGCAACAAAAAGGGGAGGTGTTCGGTTTCTTTCTCATCCATACCTCCAAAGACACGATTTTATCATATTGGACAGTTGTGTTTGTGTTTGAGTGTGGTGTTGAGTGTTGTATTGGGTTGAAGAAACTGTACAAGGAATCCGTTCAATTGTGATGTGCAGGATTATTTTATTTATTTATATATTTTTATTTGAATCTATTATCAGATTTTGGAAAGGTTTGTGAGGATTAGGAGTATTTTGGTTAAATACTAAAAGCAATAAGCTTTGTGAGGATTGGGAGTACTTTGGTTAATTACTTGAAGCAATGTCATTAGATATGTTTTTCATAGAGTGGGAAAAGTTTGCAACTGTACAATTGATTTAGAAAATGTATTTGGTTGAATTTGGGTATGTGTTGATGTATGTATTGTTGAGAAATGGTGTTGGTTCAATAATTTTGTATTTTGTGTACGTATGTATTTGTGTATGAATTTATGGGTTGTTTTTGAAAAATAAATGACCTTTGAGTTAAACTTTGTAAATTATGGTACCAAATGGTTAATGTCAGGCATATATATATATATATATATATATATATATATATATATATATATATATATATATATAATTTATGTTTATTAGACACATAAATTAATGTATGATTTATAAAATCTATAATAACATAGTTATAGTTGACAACATGTTAGTTATGCATCAAACCCGTAAATGAAAATATAATGTTACTTCTATCATTAGAACTCACATTTGTTGGATTGGATACTAATGTATTATTTCTAAAATGTATTGTCAATAATTGAAATCAGGTTGAAGTAATTAGTTTCAGGTTTTGCGATTAATAAATGTGAAAACGTCTGATCTTTTAATTTTATAAATATTTTTGCTAAAAATGTTTCAAATATGAAACTAAATATTAGGTTATAGCCCAAGTCCAAACGTGCTTCCAGATTTCCATTTGAGGTGTGCAAGTCCGTCAACGAATAGATGTCACACCCCGAAAACTGAAGGCGGAAACATTTCCGCGGTCGACTCCTGGCTAACTGTGTATCCCCCACCTCGGCCCAGCACAAAGCACTAAATCAAATATTGGACAAGCACTAAATCGACCATCTTGCATCGCAACTTTTTAGTCTTACGGTCAACGATTGCCTCTGTTTCTTCGATTAACCTTTTGCTTTCATCCAGCCTTAACTAAGATATTGGAATTATGTTCAGAACATCTCCCGTGAACTTCCTTAAATAACACACACGGAAAGTGTTATGAATACCATCTATTTCTTCGGGTAGTTCTAGATTGTAAGCTTGATTTCCAATCATTTGAAGAGGTTTAAATGGTCCAATAATCCTTGGACTCTTTTACCAAATCTTATAAGTCCCTTCTACGGTGAGACTTTAAGCAAAACCGAATCACTAACTTCGAATGTTATCGGTTTTCTTTTCTTGTCAGCATAGCTCTTTTGACGATCCTGAGCTGCTAACATCATTTCCCTAATCACTTTCAACTTTTTAGCAGTCTGATGGACTATCTCAGGTCCCATAAACTGCTTTTCTCCAGCTTCAAGTCAACAAGACGGCGTATGACACTTCTATCCATACAAAGCGTGATAAGGTGCCATCATTATGCTCGAGTGGAAACTATTGTTGTAGGAAAATTCTACTAAAGGTAAATGTTCATCCCAGTTACCTTGGAATTCCAGGGTACATGCTCTCAGCATATCTTCAAGTGTTTGTATTGTTCTTTCGTTCTGACCATGAGTTTTTGGATGGTAAGCTGTACTTAAACACAACTTGGTACCCATTTCCTCTTGTAGACTTTTCCAAAATTGTGACGTGAAACGACTATCATGATGTGATAAAATTGTTAGAGGAACACCGTGAAGTCTCACAATTTCCTTCACGCAAGCATTCGCAAGCTTATCCATAGACCATTTTTCATTGGCTGCTATGAAGTGTGCACTCTTGGTGAAACGATCCACGACCACCCAAATCATGTCGTGACCGCTCTTTGTTCTGGGTAGTTTAGTCACAAAATCCATGGTGATGTCTTCCCATTTACCCATGGGTACATGGTTGCAGAAATCAGGATTAATCGGCGATTAATCGTGGATTAATCGCTTGGCGTTTTCCAACCGTCGAGGATTAGGTCATTAATCGGAAATTTAGGATTAATCGGGTTTGGCTGGATTAATCGGTCTTGGCGGGATTAATCGGTCAACAAAAGTCGAAAAAAGTCAAAAAAGAGTCAAAAAAGGTCAAAAAAAATTTAAAATTTTCATAAAACCAACTTTCGTTTTTTAATCCAAAATTTTCAAAATTTCAAAATTTCAAATATTATACAAAAATACTTATATTTTCGTATTTCCAAATTTCCAAATTACAAATTTTCTTATTTTCTAATTTTGAAGTACTTGTTTTTCGTAAGATATATTAATATTTAATTAATTTTAATATTTTAATAATAATCTATGGTGTTCGATTAATCCCCGCCAAGACCGATTAATCCCTTAACACCAGTCGACCGTCGAGCTACCGTTAAGTGATTTTTACAGCCTTGGGTACAGGTAAAGGTTCTAACTCCCATACGGTTTCTGATGCCGTGCCTTGACTCTTGCACATGTCACACACTCGGTCACATACTTAGCAACATTGAGCTTCATCGTTGGCCACCAGTAATAGGGTTTTAAATCCCTATACATTTTCGTACTGCCAGGATGAATCGAGTACATGGTCTTGTGAGCTTCTTCCATCAGAACATCTCTTACTCCTCCCGTCTTAGGTACCCAAATCCTATCTTGGAATACCTTCCACCCTTGGTTGTTTGTACCGAATACTAATGTTTTGCCCAAGCGTTCTTCTTTTCGGTCATTCTTCTCTATAGCTTCTTCCTGAGCTTTCTTTATACTCTCCACAATTGTTGAGACAACCTCAATTCTCAACGCTCTTGGCCTTTTCTTTTCAAGGTTGACTTTCCGACTGAGAGCATCAGCAACAAAATTTGCTTTACCAGGGTGATAAAGTATCTCACAGTCGTAGTCCTTAAGTAATTCCAGCCAGCGTCGTTGCCTTATATTCAATTCCTTATGATTAAAGAGATACTGGAGACTCTTATGATCAGTGAAAAGTTTGCACTTTGTGCCGTAGAGGTAATGTCTCCATATTTTTAGAGCGAAAACTACCGCTGCCAACTCCAAATCATGAGTATGGTAGTTCTTTTCATGCTCCTTCAGTTGTCTTGATGCATATGCTATCACTTTAGCATGCTGGGTCAGAACACAACGTAACCCAACTCCTGATGCATCACTATAGACTGCGTAGTCTTCAACTCCTTCAGGTAAAGAAAGAATTTGTGCTTCACATAATTTCTTCTTTAATTTATCAAAGGCTTCCTTATGCTTTTCACTCCAAGTATAAGTAGCTCCTTTGTGGGTCAAGTATGTCAATGGGGCAACTATCGAAGAAAAGCCTTGGATAAACCTTCGGTAGTATCCAACTAATCCCAAAAAGCTTCGGATCTCCGTAGGACTTTTTGGTTGTTCCCAATTCATTACAGCTTCAATCTTTGCTGGAGCAGCCATTATCCCATCTTGGTTGACCACATGACCCAAGAATTGGACTTCTTGAATCCAAAATTCACGTTTGGAGAACTTTGCATGCAATTTCTCCTTTTTCAAAACTTCTAGGACTTCACGTAGATGCTTTTCATGCTCGTGCTTGCTTTTCGAATAAATCAAGATGTCGTCTATGAATAATATCACGGATTTATCTAGGAATGGTTTGCAAACCCTATTCATCAAATCCATGAAAGCTGTTGGGGCATTGGTTAGTCCGAACGACATAACCAAAAATTTATAGTGTCCATATCTTGTTCTAAACGCAGTCTTTTCGATATCCTGCTCTCTCACCTTTAGTTGGTGCTATCTCGACCTAAGATCGATCTTCGAGAAATAGCTCGAACCCTGTAACTGGTCGAACAGGTCATCGATCCTTGGCAACGGGTACTTGTTTTTTATCGTTACTTTGTTCAGCACTCTGTAATCAATGCACATTCTCATGCTCCCATCCTTCTTCTTTACAAATAACACCAGAGCTCCCCAGGGCGATGAACTAGGTCTAATGAAACCTTTATCCAATAATTCCTGAAGTTGTGTTATAAGCTCCTTCATCTCCGTTGGTGCTAATCGATATGGTGCTTTTGTTATTGGTGTTGTTCCTGGTAACAAGTCTATTCTAAACTCTACTTATCTATCAGGGGGTAATCCGAGAAGATCTTCGGGAAAGACTTCTGGAAAGTCACACACCACTGGTATCTCCTGCACCTCCTTATTTTCCTTCTTAGCATCAATCACAAACGCTAGATATGATGTACATCCCTTGGCCAAACGTTTTTTGGCTTTCATTGTGGAGATGATTCCAGAACTCACTCGACGTTTGTCCCCATACACCATAAATGACTCTTTTCCAGGTGGCTTCACCCTTACTATCTTCTCCTTGCAAAGAATCTTAGCATCATTGGCGCTAAGCCAATCCATTCACAAAACGATGTCAAAACCGTTCAACTCTATGAGTAATAGCTCCTCATGGAATTCTTTTCCGTTTAGGTTGATGACGATGTTCCTAATACGATCACTAACAGGTACGAACTTGCCACTATCAACCTCGACTATTAAAGCATTATCTAGTCTATCAACAGGCAAAGCTAGTTTTCTACCAAATTCATGCGAAATAAAGGAGTAGTTGGCTCCAGAATCAAACAAAATTTGGGCAGACAATTCGTTTACGAGAAAAGTACCTGAAGCGACATCCACTTCCTCCTTTGCAGCTTCAAGTGTCATTTGGAAAGGTTTTAGCAACAATAGCATCTCAACTAAAGATCTTCAACGAAAAAGATATAGATATTTTCTGGAATCTTGTAAGTTCCTTTAGGGCATGTTATTTTTCCTTCGAGTGTGGTGGGGTAACTAATTCCTGTCTCGATGCACAAAGTCTATTTCTTTTCTAAATTCAAGACGGGAGTGAATGTAATTATATATTAATCCTTTAGGGACCGATTCTTTCACCCTTTGTCTATAAACGATACAAATGAAATCATATCTTAATCCTTATAAAGACTAATTCATTATTTGCTCTTTGATTTTACTTTTACGTATAAATATCA